TATACATGATCAAAAGTTCCAAGTTGCTGTTAAGTGCCAACTGGGAGCAGATATTCCCTGCTGTTTTGAAATTCACATTCTGCCCCACATCTGAACAGTTGTTCCTTTACCCCTAGGAGAAATGAGTTCGTAATTAACCTTTAAAACTGTCTGCCCATGAATGTACTGTACATAGAATCTGACCTTTTAATATTTTCCAGGATCAAACTGAACACAAAATTGTGGTAGTAAAAGGGAATGGAGTTAAATTGATACTTTGTTTAAAGTACTGGTTTACCTCAAAAATAATTGGTTTGAACTAAAATTTGCTTCTAGGAGCAGTATACTGCTTTTAATCAAATTCAGGTTTGCTCTAAGTTTTCATTTATAATGAGTATGTAGTATATTCATTTCACAAGAATAAGGCATGAAAGCTGAGTAAACCTGTATTTTAAAATAATTTGCTTCAGTAACAAAATTTCAGTGGCAAAATTTATCAAACTGTTGCAAAAGGCTAGTTTGACATGATGTGTTTATATTGATTTACAGGCAAATTAATGGTCATTTAAAAGGATGGTAGTTCAGTTACTTTGCCAGAGATTTTGCTTAATATAGATTAGCACTTAGTATAGTCATATTGTAATGTTGAACATGGAACATGGATTTGCAAAGTCACGATTTTTGCTAATACTGTTTTAATTGTTTTAATTGCTGGTTTAGTCTTTTCTATTTCTTGAGTAGTTCTAATCTATTGTGGTTTTTGTGTCAAGTCTTTGCCAGCTGCCATGATGATGCAGCCCCAGCCAGTGGTCCTCATGCCCACTGTATATCAGCAAGGAGTTGGATATGTGCCTATAGCAGGTATGTTTTCTCTCCTTGAAGACTCTTAAAACTTCCAGATGAAGGATTTTGCAGAAATAACTACCAAATTTCTCCTGCTTTTCGGAATGTAAAGGAAACTATAAATGATTTTGTCCATGACCACTTTTCCTGTGATACATTTTTGGGAGGAGAAGAGTGAGCAAATTAAGTGTAGGTCTGCTTTCAGCCTTGTATCCTGCGTAAAGGAGCTGCATGAGTTTAATTAAATGGATTTAAATGACTATCAAGTTGGAACAAGTGGCTTGAAGGCTTCTTTTTTTGAGTGTTTATTTTAGTCGGATGTCAGGTCACTGAATAACTAAGTATCTAGCAGCCTGCACTCTAATACAACGTGTGCTTATTTAAATGGTGGCAATCCATGTGTGAAGCTGTTCAGACTTCAGAAAGTGCAGCAAATGACTTGTGCTGTCAGAACTGCAGCTTAAATAGCCCATAAAAGGATTGACTCTTCTGAGGTCTTTGAAGATGCTTTGAAGATGCTGCTTGCTACGCAGCATGTGAAGAATGAAAAATGTTAGAGAGCTTTGAGATAGTTACGTAAATACAACAAGAAGAGCTAAAGCAGGTATTGTCAGTTCTCTTAGTCTGTGCAAAGTAAGTTTTGGATTTGTATAGAAAGATGCGTTAACTTAGGTTTTGCAATTTTTCTATCAAAGCTGAAAAGTTTAAAGTATGTGAATAAGCTTGAATTCGCCCTACTTAGATAACTGGTAAGTAAAGTTCAGGGGTTTTTTGTGTGTTTCACTTACAGCTCTTAAAAGCTCCAGTTTGTTGTATGGACATTTATTCAGTAATATGTGTACTTTTTATGGAAAATAATATAAATTTACATATTTTGAATTTCTTTGCATACAAGTGTATGAATGAGTGATAGAGTGTGTGGGATATAATTGCAGTGCTAAAGGCTGACACAACAGATTTCTTTTTTTTTTAAAAAGACTCAATTCCTGATTGAATTTAAAATTTCATTCTGTGTAAAAACAAACCTCCCCAACAGAAGACTGCATATGTAACTTGAAGAATCATACCTCCTGTTTCATTTTTATAGAGTTAAGTTAGAGCAAAACGTGGAAAAGTTTGGTTACATACTTTGTTCCCTGATGAAGACATGCCGTTTGCTTCATTTAAAGTGCTCTTATCTCTATAGCTTAATTCTTAGGATTTAAGTCTTGCTTGCTTTGCCAACGAACTAGTTTCAACTTGTGTGTGCATCCTGAAGTGTGATTCCATTGTGGTAAGCCAGACTTCTGTGTAGCTTTTCTGTGTTTGAATTAGATGCCGTATCTTTTTTGCTTGTAGTTTCATCGCATCCCTATATACTGAAGCACTTAGTGAACTTCAAACATAGTTATGTCATGTATGGTTAAAAGAAAAACAATAGCTAGGGTGGTATGTATAGCAATATAATAGAAGTTGCTATAGAATTTCTTGAACAGATCAAAATGAGAATATTCATATTGCAAAATTACTGTGCCAGAGTACAAACAGTAGAAGTGAGGAGACTGGTTTCAGGAATATTTGAAACTACACATAGAATTGAACAGATAAAACTGGTACTAGGCCTTCAAAGTTGAACAACAAGTACAGTGGTGTATCTTGGTGTTCTGTAAATTTTTTTATTTTTCTTGAGAATATTTTCAGTAATACGTATTAAATCTACTTGGACAAGTGAAGAAGTAACTAATATTTAGCAAGTGATAGTAATGCCTGACATTTTAGCATATAAGAATTTGGCTTTATGTAACAATTTTATTGATCTGTATGTTGCCCTTCTACAAAGATCCAGCATGTTTGTTTTCATTACTGTGATGATAATCTGTATTAAAAATTCTTCCCGATTCTGTGACTTGTATATTTAAAGCATTGCAAAGTCCCACCCCTCAATTTGAACTTTTCTTTTGTTTTGGGAAACTTGAATGTACTTCCTTGGCTGTATAAATGCGAAACTTATTACAAGCCACCTTTGGCGTATTTAGATTTTTTTAATATATTTTTGGGTTTTTTCTTTTTAATATTACTGTGCTTTGTGTTTGCTGTTCTAGAATTTCTGTATGCACCATCAAAATTTCTCGAAGTACTGTGAGTTTTAAAGCTTTTTTTTTTTTTTAAAAGCTATTCACTAATCAGTGACTCATAATAATTAGATGGATGGTTAGGTTTGGACTTTGAAAGTGACTTGACTTCAGAATACTTTTGCTGTTTCATACATTTAATTGTATGGCTTAATAAAAATAATTGCAAATTATAAAGGAACCAATAGTGCATCTTGGAAGACATGGTGTATTGTCAGAATGTTTTGTACATACTGAACTAGATGCTCCTCCTGGATTCTGTAAACTCTTTCAGAAAGGTGCATGCAAACTACTGGCCTTCCCTCCCCAGCTGAATTGATTCTATGATTCTGGGGAAACTCTGCTGGTACACTTTCTCTGGAACACCGTGCAGAGTCATCTTTCTTTTTGAGTCTGCTTCAAGAAGGGCAATGGCAGGACGTTAGTATGCTCCGCAGGAATATCCACCTTCTTCCCATCTTCTTAGTTCAGGTTTTTTACCTATCCAGTTAAATGAGTGTAGTCAATAAGCAAATGGAGGACATTCTGGTGTTGGGCAAGACTGTTAGATGCTAAGTCTTATCTATGGTGGAAATACAGTGTGTGGACCAAAATGCTTATCCAGACAATTTAACAGTTATTTGTTGACTGTCCAAAATAATTGTGCTTTAAAGAGAGATGGTGTTAAGTCAAATTTAGCTGTCCTGAATGCCAAGCTGTTTTTTCTGTAACAGAAGATTTCTGTTCAAAACTTAGTATGCATAACTAACCTTCTAATTAAGGTTGAAGCAACTAATTCCTCTCATACGAATCTCTATCACACAAACTGAGGTAAATAGTAGTAGCAAGCAGTTAGTCACTGTGGTAAGCAGATGAAGCTTGAAATGCTGACACAAGTAATGCTTTTTTTCCCACATTTGATGGTACATGTTACAGAACTGTGATGTAAGCAGAAATGGCCACAGAATATTCTTGCACCATGTTAATTCATTTCAAAAGTTTTAAAAATTAAAAACTGCTGACAATACCGCTAGTTGCTACAAACTATAGTTGCCATAGATGATATCTATGTATTGGGTTTGGGCAAATTTGAACTTGTCGATCCTGTTGCTCTTCGAGTTTATCTACCATTTCTTCCTGTTTGTTTTTTTAAAGATTACTTAATTTAGGCTGTAGAGTGTTGTGATATATTGGTTGCTTACAGTCCAAGCTGATCTTCTTGATAGTGTATCAAAGATAGTAAGCTAAAAGAAGTTAGTTCAATGAAGCAAGCTATATTTATCAGCTAAGTATTCATGGGATAAATAGGAAATCTATTTGTACTTAACTTATGATAAACACCTCTGTAAAAAGTAGGTTAAAACCCTATGTGTTTCAGGGCTCTGTCAGAGTCCAAAATACAGTTTTTCATTGAGGCAAAGTTGTGTGTATATGTACATTACTCCTTTAGGTGTGTGTATTGAGTTTCATAGGTTAGCTTGTGATGTTACTGGTATTTGTTCAGAAAACCATGGAGGTATGTTGTCCTTTGTGGGCTATAAAATATAATCCTTGCTGCAAACAGCTGGTGGGTTACTTATTTTGAAAACACTTTCTCTAATTGTTACTTCTGTAAAAACAGCACATTTAGGAAACTTGTTCAGAACGCAAATTAGTTGGGAGACTGAATCCTAGCAGCACTTAGGTTTTGATATTAGATAGCTTAGGTTTTACCCAATTGCCTCAGTTTATCCAACTTTCACCTTCGGAAGCTAAATGGTTCATGTCCTTTTAAAAATAGATTAATATTTCTTTCCCATGTCTTATTCCTTTCCCCTTGCCCCTTCATTTTCACCTATCTTTAGGGCTTGAGTACTTTGCTCTGGGTAAGTTTCCAAGCTCTTTTCTCACTCCCATCCTCATTGACTCAAGAGTCTTTGCATGAACTTACCTAAACAGCTTTATTTGTTACAGCAGACTGTATCACAAGGTATTGCCACTTGAATGTCACAATAGAAGAATTTAATGCATCTCCTGGAAATTGTTAAAGCCCTTCTAACCTGTTGGAATTAAAGACATGTGCACAGCTTCAAGCTATAATAATTAAAGTAATTGGTGATAGTGGTGTTGATGGCTAAAACGTGATGTTGATATTCTTCTGCAACTGTTGTATGTCAGTGAGCTATTCTAGGTGATAGTACGGGTTTCCTAGGAGAGAAACTTTAACCTTGCAGTTGTTCTGCTACTGCAAGATTTGGGGAGAAGCAGTTAATGTCGTGACTTTTTGTGAACTTGAAAGTGAAGAACTCAATTCTGCAATGACATTGAGAAGACAGCCTGCCAGTTGCCTTCTGTTAATCTTCAAATAAGCCTTTTTTCTAAAAGATAACACTTTTTTCATCAGTGTGTATCTTTCATGCACATCTGTTTTAAATCCATGTCAAATGAGCATCTGACTTGAACTCTAAAAGCAAATTATGTTACAGGAAATCAATTCTCCTTCAATTTAAACTCACTTTACTATGACACCTTTGATTTTGAATTGTGCAAAGATATTGTGATATCCTTAACTTGGATAAAAGCATTGGTCTTCAACCAAGTACGTTCAGAAAATTCTAGAATTCTGTGAGATAAAATGTCGTTTCTTGATACTCTGAATTTCAGAAAGATGCTATAAATAAAACTGATGTGGTTGTCGCAGCGTATTTGGTTTATTCAGAGCAGTGGAACTGTAGAATTTCTCTGTGGGTCCATATGCTTCAATTTTCTAGTAGTTTGCAAAGAAGCAACATTTAGAAAAAATTGAGATGATGGCATCCATATTTTAGCACTGAATTTTTTTCTGAAGCAAGTATCATTAAGACCTATTTGTATATTTTAAAAAAGGTGATACTGATTTCTTCCTTGAAATGAAAGAATTCGTGCTGAGAAGGTTCGTGAGTTTACTCTGAAAGGGTCTATGCATGGGACAGGGTACTAATGAGTTAAGAAATTAAACATAGGGCACTTGACTGAATAAGAAAATAAAATAAAAAGTGTGTAATGCCTTGTGTGCAGTTAGAAGAAGTTTACCCTGTTATTGCTGCTTTGATGCTTCCATTGCTGCTCGTAGCAATTGACTTGCTATTGTACATATTCATTTCATGTATTGGAATGTCACTGCTTATGCCAGCATGTTTGTCATTGCCATTTCACTGAATCGGAAAACAGTGCTCCATTCTTCTGATTTATAACACTTACCTAATATCTGAGAGCAACACAGGAGTGTGCAATTCCATTTATAGTGGATTCTTATGTGGTTTAGTTTCAGTTTTCACCTGTTAGTGAAATAAGGTGCTTAATATGTAAAGCAGCTTTTTACTAAACATTGATAATTTTGAAGTTTATTGTAACTTCCTCTAATGACTGTATATATATATATATTTGCTAAATTTTAGTGCATAGTTCTTTAAGTTTATGTTTAAGTCTTGCTTACTATTTTGTAAATCAGAAATTATGGATGCTTTTACTCTTGAGTGTGGAACAAAGCAAAAAGCCAAGGTACTCTTTAAATTGGTATTTGTATAGCTTGAGTGTTGAGTTTTGTGAAAGTAAGCATTTATCATGGAAATATTTATTAAAAATCACTGTCCATTTGTATACAGTGTAGTTGTAGATAGCATAAACTAATTACAGAACTGTCAGAGCTGAGAAAATGGATTTTGAAAATTCTTAGTGAAAAACAAAGCTATCAAGAAATTTCTTGTCTCTAAAATTGGGTATTTAGATTGAAAATACTTCTTGAATACTGCCTGTGCAGATGTCTGGCTTCATAATTATCTTGTTTTGATGAAAGCAGTAAGGAAAACTGTGTGCTGGTCTTGATTTTTTTTGACACTGACAAGACACTGAAACTTTATTGGTAAGTTGTAGAATGCTGTGGTACTCGAAGTGAGCCTCGTGTTTCATTTGGATTAATATTTTAAACGGATCTCCTGTATGGACAGTTCCTACACAATTTAGGCTGATAGTTGGATAATCTTAGGGTGCTGATGACTTACTGAAGAATATTAGGAAGCTTGTGTTAGAAGTAAAACATTAACTTCTGTTGCTCTGTTCTTTCGGGTACTTTGCAACTTTATTTTTTGAGGCCATAAATCTTTGTTCACCTCTTGTAAATGCCTGGATTGTTTGTAGGAAGCGTGAGGAATGAGTTTAGACTTGTTGAAGCTATAGGAGAGAGAATTTGAAATACTGCTGGATATGATTATTGGGTAAAGTGTATTTGGGTGTTGGTGAGGACTGCATAGTGGTTTACCTCCAGGGTGCACACATGATCTGATTTGCCAGATGTTCAAACACATACTGCCAGACAGAATTCCAGGGACCATGGTCCAAATGGCATAAGAAGCTCTAGAGCTAAAGTTAAGGCTGTTGCAGAAGAGGTGATAGATATCCTTGGTAGTGGTGTGATGCAAATGGCTGGGCAGAGACATGGTTCCAGTGTGTACGTAATAAATTTATGGTGAGAGGGACATTTCTTTAGTTGCCAGCATGAATTTTTTCGAATAGATGCAGCCTGTACATTAGACTTAAAGCATCTAGGTTCCTTTTTTTCTTGTAATGAAACTTAAGATGATTACAAGGGGAATTTTTAAAATCAAAATTGGAGAACACTGGTAAGTATGGAGGTGCTTACAATTCAGTAATGCATCCCTTCAGATAGGACAGGAGTCCAAGTTGAGGAAAGAAAGAAATAGCAAAGAGTACATTAGGTAAAATCTCAGTTGCAATGCACACAGTCAGTCTATGTTCAATTACAGTACCTTGTCAACCAGAGTTTATGTAAGTTAAGATGAGTTTAGCTGATCCAACCTTGAATTTTAAAATATCATTTTTAAAGCTGATAGAAGAACGATAATCACTGATATGCTAAAATACTTGTGTGAGTTAGAATGAGCATAGACATTTCTGATTAAATAGTTACAGATTAAAGAAAATCTTGAAGACAAGGTAAGTATTGAAATCGTTCTTTGGTTAAAGAAAATCTTGAAGAGACAAGGTAAGTATTGAAATCGTTCTTTGCTTTTTTCTTTTTTTTTTTTTTGAGGTGTTAAGTCTGAATAGAAGTAGTATAATATAGTTGCAATACATTTGATCACTTTAGTACTTTAGTCGTTATGCAAAGAGAGATAAGGCTGCAAAGAGGCACACTTGAAAATGATGTCGGTTGTAGATCTGCTTTATGATATGCTTTTGAGCAGTTAGTCAGAACTCAGTAGCAGAGAAGCAGCTTTTGATCTACTCCTGAGTAATATATGAAACCTGGTCCAAAAAGTACCTTATTTTGAAGATGTGTAATAGTGGTGACCCAAATGTTCATCCTTTGTTTAACTTAAGGAGAAGTATTTAAGGTCAGAGAAAGAAAGCTAAACAGGTGAACTAAAAAATATGTAAAAAAAAAAAGTTGTTAGCTGCTCAAAGTAAATGTATGCCAAATTTAAAAAAAAAAAAAAAAAATGGAGAATCCTAAAAAGTCTCTGCAGTAAAAACAGTAAAGTAGGTTTCTGCCAAAAATCGGTAGGTCTGCCCACATGAGGGGATGTGAGAGAGTTAAATTATATATTAAATCTAAACTGGTATTAAGGTTGGCTAACAAAGCCTTTGAAGATCAAACGTGTAAGGAGTTGAGAACCTAAGAAGCAGAGAACCTAGAATCATTTAGGTAATTAAGTGACTATAAAGATATAAGTATATAAGGGAGTACCAAAAAAAACAGTTGGAATGTGAGACCATAATGGGGGGAGGAAGAAAGTGTTTGGGTTTGTCCTTCTTAGGAAGGAATGCCTTTTTGTGGAGAGGGATCCTCAGGTTATTTTAGAGTTTAACACTAATTGTTAAGATGATCAGTAAGAAAATGCAGGTAAGATAACATTTATTGCCAGTCTTGTATTTTGGATTTTTGTTACCAAATGCGGTATGTAACCTATTGATTAATTAGTCTTGCTTTCAGAGGACTGGAGGATAACAAACTGCATTTTTTTTTAAAAAAAACAGTTCTGAAGTAACTGTTTTCCCTATTGCATAAACTGATTAAAACCTATGGAGATTAGAACAAGATTTAAAACAAACAACTAACTAGGTAAACTTTAGAAGGAGGTGATGTGGTTACGTAGGGAA